AATCTTGAAAGCTCGCGAGATCAGGATGGTCTCACAAGGCTAGCTCTGACCTGGGTGTGTAATGAAAATTGTCACGCAATTTCCCTCCTTCACCTGTGCAGCAAAGATTAGCGCAGATTTTGTCATTTTATAACCCAGGGATCTGTCAATTGAGCGGTAGCTGATGGGTAAAATAGGCTTAAACAGAGCTTTTGATAGCCTCATTAGCACAACAGCTACCCATCCTTTTTTCTTCCCTTGCGCTACCTTCACCTTTTCTACTACGTGGACAGCTGTTTGTATTTTTACATATGGATAAAGAATTAAATATTAGCATTTTACACAAATCCCCTTGACTAAAGCAGTTGATTGTACTTGGACTGGAATTAATTGATGAAATCGCTTGATTGAATGTTTTTTCAGATGAAATTATTTTTATGCAATAAAGGCCTTTATTTTTGTTAATTTTTATAGTAAGTGGAAAAAATGGGAATAGAAAGAGGGGGAAGACATGCAGCTTGGGTCACCAGACTGGAACTCAAACCTATGACAGCTGCTTAGAGGAGCAGAGCACTTTTTGCTGTTAGATATCTCCTAATAAGTCATCAATTAGCTGACTGTGTGATACCACTAGCTAAAAACATTCAGTTTGTTATATTTCACTGTTTATTGCTTGAATTTTGTTGCCCTTTAAATTAAGGNGTATCTTATTTGATACATAAGGTTTCTGAAATGTTTTGCGTCTGACACCTTTTGCATAATTTAATGGTAAAAACTTTGCTCAAAATCCTATTGTACACAATCAGATATACCTGATAACAGAGGGCAGAAGACTACACAAAAAATAATGTTGACTTATCGCATAGTAATAAATTATTAATATAAAACATTTATTTTTGTTTTTTCTTTTTACATATTTTGTTAAATGGCCAAATAAGGACTTCAAACCAAAAAAAGTAATTTTCTGTTTTGTTTTATTCTTGGATCAGGCTTTAAAGGGTTAACTGTGATATGCACTTCATGAGATGTGAGCCCGGTTGGTAAGAACTGCCTTCTGTAACCCTATGCAACTTCTCTGGACTGAGTTAGATTACAAATTTTGTCAAAATCTGTTGTTATGTCTCATGGTTATTTAATACATATACATTATGCAGTGTTATAAGAAACAGAGAGAGAAAGCTTCAAGGTGTAAAAGCTTTCCTTAACAGGCTTATATGAAAAATGTGTTTACATCTCCTCATTGGTGCATTCATGCTTTTTCAAAAAACTCAATAAAAACCTCATGTGAGCATAGATTGATTTGATTTTTGCTGTTTCCATCAAGCTCTAATTCAAAATGTGCAAAAAACCCCTCATCTAGTGGATGTGTGGGAGCCGACCATTTTATAATGTTATCCTAAAGTCGCTGCAGAATAGTATCATGCCACTTCTGGTGATTAGGGTCTTTTTTAGAAGGCCAAACAAAGTCAGATACCTCTCACAGCCAAATAATACATTTGTGCAACCCATAATAAAAGAAAGAGAAAAAAAAACAGTTGCTGTCACTGTGCAGATTCAGTGCTAAAAGGGCCAGTGTTGTTTACTGGGTGGATGCACTGCGGTCAGGGTAGGTGCTTCCTGGAGAGGGTCGGAAATCCCTGTACTACTTAGAACAGGGGTCTGCAATCTTTCATATCCAAAAAGCCGTTTTGCCCAGAGTCCGACCAAGTAAAAGCTGTTTAGAGCCGCAAAATATAACATGACTTTTTCTAGAAAACCTTTTTTTTTTTAAATCTTGTATAGGAAATTAGTTGTTGCCATCTCAAACAATCAACAATCATGTATTTTTAATGTTAAAACATATAATTTTCAAGCTAATTCATAAAAAAAATGTCTCTTAAAACATATTTCTGGTTCTTTTAATCTCATTCTTTTCCATCTTATAAAAAACGCTAAAGCTATTAATACCGGTATATATTATAGTAAATTATTTAGCTCTTTATATACATTTTAGCTACTATTAAGAGCCGCTGGAGAGGCTCCAAAGAGCCATATGTGGAGCCGCAGGTTGCAGACCCCTAACTTAGATATTCATGGCAACTCATTTCCCAGTACAGTTATGAGCTGTTGCCCAGACAGCAGAATTCACAATGATAATTCAGACATACATACATACAGGAATAAAGCAAAATAACATGAAGCATAGTCAAAAACTAAAAAAAAGTTCAGTTTGACTTAAAAAGGCCCTTTTAATTTCTGAAATAATATCTCCAAGTATTAAAAAAATCTAAAACTAAAGGCACTCCAAAAACTGATCTAAAAATAAGTATAAATTTACTGGAATATGTTCTTAATTTGAGCAAGTATATAAGATGATATGCCAAAGGAATTAGTATTTATGCACTAAAGCAAAAAAATATGTCTTTTTTTCTAGAAAAATTGATTTATATTTCGATAAATCTACTTCTAATTTAACAGTTTCTTAGTGTCAATATAGTTTNATTAATTGCATTTTGTATGCAAAAAAATCTGAAATAGATAATCCTTGTTCTAAATACTAGCAAGACTGAGGACATGATTAAAGGTTCAGGATCATGCTTTTTTTTAAAAGCGTTCCACAGTCAACTAAAGTCACATATGGTAAAATATTTCATCTGCCACCACAGACTAATGATCTGATAACAGACATGTTTCCAATAATAATAATAATAAGAGTTTTTGAGCAACTTTTTAAATAGTAAAAAAAAAAAAATGCAACTGCTTTTGGCACTTACTTAATCATATTTAGTTACTGTAACACAATTGTTTTATGTCCTACCCTGCTAACACAAAGCATAGTCAAAAACTAAAAAAAAGTTCAGTTTGAATTAAAAAGGCCCTTTTAATTTCTGAAATAATATCTCCAAGTATTAAAAAATCTAAAACTAAAGGCACTGCAAAAACTGATCTAAAAATAAGTAAAAATTTCTTGGAATATGTACTTAATTTGAGCAAGTATATAAGATGATATGCCAATGGAATTAGTATTTCTGCACCAAAACAAAAAATGTCCTTTTTTCTAGAAATATTTATTTATATTTCAATAAATCTACTTCTAATTTAACAGTTTCTTAGTGTCAATATAGTTTTCATCCCAGCTGTTGAGTCATACATTTATTTGTTACACAAGTCTGTATGACTTAAAGATAATAGACTATTTTGATCACAATTAATCCATAGTGAAATCAGCAATTGTA